TGTTGTTGTCAAAATGTCATGTTGTCACCATTTTCAAAAAGATGTTAGTTGACCGAGGGACCGAGGGACCTGGTGACACCTAAAAACCATCTACCCTAAAATCGTGAAAAAATGACCAAATTTCATTATATAACTGTTATATTTTTACCAAGTGAACTTTAACACTTCGTAAAAAAATCCCTGAAATCATATCTTTTATACATGAAAATCGTAAAAAATTGCGATTTAGACTTTTTTTGGTCTTGCATAAAACACATGAAAATCGTGAAAAAATGACTAATTTCATTATATAACTTTTTTTTTACCAAGTGAACTTTAACACTTCGTAAAAAAATCCCTGAAATCATATCTTTTATACATGAAAATCGTAAAAAATTGCGAGTAGGGAAAAAAACCTGGTCTTGCATAAACTCATGAAAATCGTGAAAAAATGACCAAATTTCATGAATTTCCTCATATGTTTGCTTCCCTCGGAAAACCGAGGATAGAGATTCCATACGAAAATCGTGAAAAAATGACCAAATTTCATGAATTTCCTCATATGTTTGCGACCCGAGGAAAACCGAGGAACGAGATTCCATACGAAAATCGTAAAAAATTGCGAGTAGGGAAAAAAACCTGGTCGCCTAAAACACATGAAAATCGTGAATTTCCTTAAGATAGAAAAAAAAATAAAGTTAGTTTTTTTAAAAATATTTTTTTTATTTTGTATGTAAGAAACAGAAAATGACAAACACTGAGTTTGAAACAGTTAGAAAGATAGACAATGACACCAAAATGGTTAGAATTGGTGATTTAAACGTAAGATACTCAAAGAAATACAAGAAATATTCTTTGTCAGACATTTTATCTCCATCTGGAAAGAGAGCAATCGACTGGGTTAGAATTGCTTCTAGTCAGAAAATTTTGACAAGAAATCCTGAGCTTATGATATCAGTAGCATTCTATGGAACAAGAGCATATCTTATAGACAAAAGTCTTATACCAATAGTTTTGTTATGGTTAGACCCAGTTGTTGATATAACTTCATAACATATGGTTCATTCGATACTGAACGTTGCAGTGAAGGCTTACTTTACATCGTTCAGAAACCGAAGGACTTCAACACAAAAAGATATAAGATAGGAAGAACATAAATATAACTCAAAGATATGACAGATAGTCAATAGAGTTAAGGTTGTGTTTGTGAATGATATGAGAGCTGCTGAAACAGAACTACTTGAAAAGTTTGAGAAAATGTATGGTGCTCCCACGAAAGGTAAAGAAACGTTTGAAGTAGATGAGATAGATAAAGCTATAAAATTATTTGACGAAGTTGCTGAAAAATACATGTAAAAATAACGTTTATTTTTGGTCTTTTGTGAAAGTCAGGAAATAACGCTAGTTTTTTATAAAATATTTTTTTTATTTTGTATGTAAGAACAGATATGTCAACATCAGAGAACACAACAACTGCTATCGTTCATGAAGCCATAAATGAAGAATATGAGTGGGTTCAGTATAACAAACAGTTACGTCTCATTCGTTCGGTCAAAGACGATATGTACCAAGTGCAAAGTATTTTGAATGCTCTTCGTTCTACAAAGCAAGCATTCATTGGTTTGAAACCAGACAAAGAACTTTTAGAAGAATTTCCTCATATGTTTGCGACCCTCGGAAAACCGAGGGTCGAGATTCCGTACGAAAATCGTGAAAAATTGCCAAACGGTTTGAGAGGATATTATGTTCATAGGCTTCTTGTAAATGCTGTAGCAATGTGGGCTTCACCTCGTTACGCTTGTTATATTTTCATGATGTTAGATGAAATTCATAGACAAGAACGTGAAGAGATGGAAAAGAAACTTCAAGCAAAAGATGAAGTCATTGAAGCAAAGACAAAAACATACAGAAAAGAATACCACGTTCGGTACCAAAAGGAAAGGAAAAGACTATAAGTATATGATTTATACTGAAGAGTTGGAGAAAGAAGAAGATAAAGATATGGTTATGTTGCATTTAGTCAGAAGAAACAACAAAAGCTTTTACGACCTTGCTAAATTTACAAATCTGACAGAAATTGGTTCTATCGCGAAAACTTACCGATTTCAATGACACCAAATGAAGATGTGAAACAAATAGTTCAAGATACTTTACCTCAAACACACTATGATATTAAAGGTTGTACAATACTTACCTTCAAAGAAGATTTGCCGCTACTGAAAGAAAAAATAACAGAGTATTTTGACAACTTCAAACAAGTAGAGTAAATGAACCATTTATTTTTACGCTTGACTTCAGATGGCTCAGGTAGCTCTAGATGGTAAATTGTCTTGTCAAATCCTTCTGGCATTCCGAGTCCTTCCATCCGACATTCCGAGTCCTTCCATCCGACAAGAAAAAAATTTCCCGACAACTGGAAAAAAATTTCCCGACAACTGGAAAAAAATTTCCTGACAACTGGAAAAAAATTTCCTGTTGTTCGTCCGTAAACCATTCAAATTTTCGAAAATTGAGAACTTTTTGGTCGAACGACAGAAAAAATTTTTCCTTCAGACAGGAAAAAAATTTCCCGACAACTGGAAAAGTCCTTCCTTCCGACAGAAAAAGTTCTTCCTTCCGACAGGACACAAACGAATGTCCGACGTACCCCCAACCGAGTCCATTCCAAAGCCAGAAGAACCGACAGCCCCAGCACCACAACAGACTAAGACTAAACACTTACATTTTTCAAGCTTGACTTTTTACAATTTGAACTTTGTTTGCGTAGATATGAATTCTGAAAGAAGTATGAGGGTCTTGTATGACTTTGTACTTCTCCCATAGTTCATGTCTGTCAAACTTACCTGCCATGGACTCTTTCATAAGTTCCATGAAATCGTCTTCGGACAATCCGGGGAAAAGTACAATGTCAGTAAGTATTCTCTTTACATCCTTACTTAAACTCTTGGCTGTCTGTACACAAATGACAACTGAGATGTTAAAGTGTCTGAGCTTCTTAAGAATTCGACACATGTCTTGTTCTCTGTTCTTTAACAAAGGATGAGAGGCGAAATCATCTAAGATAAGAAGACATCTATGAGGGTAAGTCTTCCAATCGTAAGATTGCAATTTCTTCGAAATGTATTCTATCTCTTTCTGTTTGTTTCTGAAGTGTTTCTTCTCTAATATTCTCTGCATTTCCTCATTTGGGTCTTTAAACTTCGAATTTATATACTCATTTATAGCATTATACTTCAAAACTCTTCTTTGGTACTTCTTATCCAATCTAACAACTCAGAGTCTTTTATACATACTAACTTAGACTTTTTTTATAATATCTTTGAACGAATTGACGGTTTGGTCAAATTGACCAGAAGTACTACAAATGACAACTAACTCATAGAATGGGTTCTTCTCATCTAGTTCTTGTTGTTGTGCAGCCATTTTAAGATAAGTGAAAGTCTTACCAGACCCAGGTGGTGCAATTAGACCTGTTATACCATTCTGAGCAAATAAGAACTTGTCATGTATAGGCTTTATCTGAGCATTTTCCAACTTCCTTTGTTCTTATTTAAAACATTCTCAAATTTTTTGTCAATGTCAGCAAACTTTTTTTCTAACATATTTTTAGAAAAATTAAAATTTTTATCTTTTAGAAAATGTCTAGCGATTTCGCTATCTATATTCGAGACAAACTTTTTGACAGCAAAACATCTGTCGACCATAAAATCTTACATAGTGTAAACAAGAAGGTGAATTTGTTCTAAAGTTCTGTTTCTGGGAATATGACAAGAACCATAAAACATTAAGCAGAGAAGTCTTAAAATTTGTCAATGACAGACTTGTTGACAGAGATGACGCCTCTTGGAGAGATGAAGTCCAAAAACTTCTTAGAATGCAAAGAAGACACATGCACTGTTCTTGAAGATGAAATAGAAAACAGAATAGAAGAGCTATTAAAGGACAAAGAACTTTTACAAAAATATGGTTCTGAGAAATTTGACATAACTCCACCAGAAAAGAAGAAGAGAGAAAAGAAAGAAAAGAAAGTAGAAGAAGAGAAGAAAGAACCTGAACCAGTTCCAGAGAAAAAGAAATTTGACATGTAAAAATAAAATTTTATTTTTAGAACATTTCTGGGTCAATGTCAATGTTCTCTTCCTCTTTAGGAGCAAACACTGGCTTAGACTCTAAAATCTTTTTACCCAATTTACCTTGAACTTCTACAACTTTAGACTCATAATATTCATAGTCGTCTGCTTTCTTTGGTTCATAAGGTATAACAAGTTTGTATGCTTTGCCTTCTTTAAGGTTTGAAAACCTTCTGTCAAAACTTTCTTTGACTGCTAACAAACCTTCTATGTCTAAGTCTTCAAATTTCGCACCATTTTTAGTCACAATAGCAAACTTAACTGGTTCGATGTTCCAAACTTTGCTGAATGAAGACTTTTCAAAATGGTAGAAGTAAACATTCAAATATGTGAATGGGTCTAGTTCTTCTTTAAGTCCTGACATGTACTTGTTTACTGAGATGAATTTTGCCATCTTTTCTATCGGATAAAAAAAATATTTTTTTTTAAATTTACTCAGAAAAATTTTTCTTTGTATATACACCATTCTGTACGTCTAAAAGACTTTTGACATTTGCCAAGAATGTTCGTTTAGACGCTGTCATATAACCATACTCTTGACAATATTGTTTATACGAGTCGTACAATGACCTTTCATCTAAACACTCAAAGTCAGTTTCATCTATGAACAGTTCATATACACTCTTGTTTGCTTCTAACAATGTTTGTCTCTCTTCGGTATGTGGAATTTGTCTTGGATTGAACTTTGAAATATCTAATGTCATAAAATATGAGAACAAGTGGTTGTAAAAGTCAGATGTCAAAGTTTCTGCTAAGTCGTCAAAATATTCTGTATCTTGCATATGAGAATCTGACGTTCTGACAACTACATATCTTCTGTCAGAACTTTCTAACTTCATCGGAACAACATTGTTTGAAACCATAACGAAGTTTGCAACATTTTCACAAAACTCTTTGGTCTTTATATTTTCTTTCAACAACTCCAACTTTGTCTGTTATAAGACTCTTCAAAGCATCTGAGTTCAAAACTTTTGTTGTATCTATACTTTGAAGTTCGTTACATACTATAAGTTTCATATTCTCTATTGAAGAGTTAAATTTACCGCAGATGTTTTCTAAGTTTGTCATATTCGGATTCGAATAACCTTCTAACAGTTTGCACAAAATATCTGTAAAGAATGTGTTCTTACCTGTTCCTTGTTTTCCAATTATAATGAGAGCAGTTTCATTTTTAGCACTTGGATGTTGTAAGATGTTTGCAAACCAACATAAGATATACTCATAGACTCTTTCGTTTCCATTGCATATAATTTCTTTGACATGGTCTAACCAAGCTTCTATAATATTTTCTTTCCATTCTACTTGTTCGTATTTATATCCAGTGAAGATAGAATAGAAGTTTGGAGAAGGTGTATAGAACTTTATACCTCGAACTGAAAAATCTTCAAGTTTTGACAATAAGATATCCCAAGCATCTAACATCTTCATGCCAACTTGTACGACTTTTATTTTCTTAAGTTTCTGTCTACATTCTTGTTCTGAAACTATTGTTGCTCTTGGTTTGTTAAAGACTACATCCCATTCTTTCATAACATAACATTCTGGGGCAGAGTCGACATAAATGACTAAACGTTTCAAATTCTCGACTGCTTTGTTATAGTCTCTAAATGGACACATATTTCTGAATGTTTGGAAGTCATAAAATCTGAAACATCTATTCTGTACATTTTTATAAAAATAAAAAAAATATTTTTTTTTATTCTTGAGCTATTTGTTGCATTTGTTGCATTTGTTGCATTTGTTGTTCTTGAGCTATTTGTTGTTGAAGTTGTTCTTGTAATACAATACTTTCACCAGTTGCATCTTCCAATTCGAAACTTTCTGCCGTCATTGACAAATACATAGGACATAAAAGTTTTACAGGAACAAAGTTTGCGTCAACTAATGTCAACGTTATACTTGCCAAAGTGTTTGAGTTCACTAAGGTTGAAAATTCTGCATTCGAATGAACAATAGGCAAACCAGCAGAGAAAGTATTGTTTATACGCATAAGTATCTTTTGGTCATAGTAGTTTCTGTCGACATTCGAATAGCACTTTGAACCTAAGTTTGAAAAAATATATAAAATAGGTGTGCTTAATGTCAATGGAATAGACATTCCTTGTATGACACCTTTTCCTGTTATAGGAAACTGTTGGTAGTAAAAACCAGATATAAGTTTTGTATTATAGCTCATATTGTTTATAGTAAACTCAGTCGGACATCCAAACATAATGAAACCTGCTCTAGTTGCAGCACATGTTACACTCGTCCTTAAAGTATTAAATAAGTCAACAAAACCTGTTGGTGGTATATCTGAGTAAGTATCTTCAAAGGAGTATTTTTTACCATTCACAACAATAAAATCTTCTGGTGTCAAAAGAGCAAAACAAGCTTTAGTCGTCATTGTGTTTAAGGTTAGTTTACAATATCGTCCTTGAGGACTTTGTAAGTTTGTTGTTATAGAATTATATGACTCAGGGTTTTTAGTCGTAATAGTATAAACCATTATATCTTCTGCCATTTACTTAGCAAATAAATTTTAATGAAATGTTGTGGTCGTCAAATATTTTTATAACGTCTGGGAAACTATACTTTAAGTTCAACGTTTCACCTCCTTTCATAACGTATATCTTGTCAATGACATTATATGAAACACCACAGCAACTAATGTCGGGTTCTATTTCTTTGATGTTTATATCGTCTGCCTCTGTCAAAGTTTCAATAGTTCTTTTCAAAACTTCATGAGGTGCAATGACATATGAGTTCACTTTTACAGGGTTGTGTTCGACCAAGTTTAACATTATACCTAAAGCTTGACAAATCTTCTCCTGAGTTTGAAGTTTGTTTTCAGTTGTTGGTAGTCATTTCGAATATCTGCAACAAACTTAAGTCTCTGCTAACTTCAGGGTATGTTGGTTGTTCTTTTACAGGAACAATTGTTATACCATCTTCGTCTTCGTATGGTTTCCCCACTTCAACATCTCTTTCTTTGACATTGACAATAACACTTTGACTGTTTGTTTGAGTTGGTGAATTTAACTTCACATCTGCCACCGCCATTAAACCTTTTGAAACACTTACGCTTCTATTTTTCGGAAATGACATTTTACTTAGAATAAAAAGATGGACGTATTCGGATATCTCTTCGAATTGAAGCAGAACAAAGTTTACACACACAAACAATACAAATACATTGACAGAATAGTTCTTTATACAAACAATGGTAAATGTTATAGAATAGCAGTCTTTGCTGAACCAAAATATTTTCATAAAGCAAAGAAAGTTGGTATAACTGAAATGGTGAAAGTTCTTGAAGCAGACAAAAATATAACAACAAAACTTACAGATATTTCTAAAGGAAAGTTTATAATACAATTTTATGTCAAAACTGGCGTACTGTCAATATTTGACGGAGAGAAGTCAGTTCAAGAACAACTTACTGACCTGCTGCCAAAATCTGCTCGATGGAAGCTGTCGTTATGCCAATCTGAGGAGCCCCAGCAGGTTTCATCGAACGAATCTTCAAAGAGCATCTTCCGTGAAAAGTGCTATTGGTTTTGTAAACTTCTTTGCTCTCAGTTCATATGGACCGTCTCTGTCACCAGTATATTGTATTTGTACAGTACCAACAGTTGAAAATACCACCCATAAAGTCTTCTGAGTCAGCAAATGGAATGCCAAGCCAAAAGTTTGAACGGTCTCCATTTGTATATTGAGTTTTTTGACTTCCTGTATGAGTCCATACTTTCACATATGGCATAATAGAACTTTGCATTTCAGGGTTAATGGTTGTTGTGAAGTTGTTGTTAAAGTTCATAGCATCTAATGTCAAGTTGTATGACCTCATATCCTCAACTGTAGAATATTCTTCTCTTGGATAATATTTGCCATCTATGTTTATATGATATTTAATACCAGGGTTGTAGAAACAAGAATAGTCATTTATAGTTCGTCTGAACAGTACAAACATAGTATCTGCATGTTTCATTGCAGTTGTTAAAGCAATATCTGTTCTTGCACCTGCGGTTCCTGGATTTTGGTTTCCAACTTCACCTGCAAAGTCTTTGACAGATATTTGGTGTATAGGGAACATAAGTGGAACTGCAATATATTTGGCAGCTAAAGCATTTGAAATATCTGGGTCCAACATATAGACTGCAAGTCTGCTTTCTATTCTCTTGCATTCAAACTGTTCGCATGTAAACCTAACTGGGTCCCAAGCAGTTCCAGCAGCATTGAAATAATACTTTACTTCAGTGTTGAGGTTTGAGAAACCAAAGTCTAAGTCAACTTTGTCTTTGCAAAAGTCACAGAACTTGGCTCCACCAGTTCCAGCTACAGTAAGAGTGAATGGGTCTTGCGTTGGTGCAATGACTAAGTTATTTTTGCTTGGAGTAAGTTCAATAGAAATTTTTCCTGCCCAGTTTGGCAAGTATCTTAAAAACCTGAAGATGATGAAAGATGACAAAGGAACTCTAAGTTTCAGTTTTACTTTAGTGACAGCATTTCCATCTGAACCAGAAAGGTTAACATAAACTCCTGGAACGTTAGGGTCAAGTCTTCTTATTTTCTCAATAGTTGCATACTGGTCTGTTTGTTCTCTAGCTTGTGGTTGTACTGAGTTTCTCAAAGCGAACCATTCATAGTTTGCCCATGTTACTGTTTGAACTAAGTCAGAGTTAGAATATATCTTATATCCCATGAAAACTTCTGGAGCATATTGGTATCCGACATAGAAAATTCCATTGCAACCTTTCTTGTCAGACAACTTGGCAGAAGGTTTTATTTCAATGTCTTGTTCCACGTATAAGAATGAGTTGTCAATAGAAATTATATGAAACCTGTCGCAAGCAATATCTACTGTTGTTGAAGAACCTTCTCCAAACTCACCTACATTTCCATAAGAAACAGCAGTTGTATATTCGTAAGTTCCAGGAACTATTTCTGACCTTCTAATGGCATTGTCGCATTCGTTATACCATTCGGAAACATTTCCATTCATGGCATCCAAAACTGTTGGCGTTATATTCTGAGCGGCGTACATTTCATATGGGTAAAAATATAGAATAGTTGGATTTATATATCATAATAGAACCCACTCGTACCAAGCTTTACTTTCTTCCTGACTGAGTTTTTAACTCTTCTTTTTCCTTCATTGCCACTACTTTCACTTTGTTCTTCACTACTTTCACTTTGTTCTACTCTTCTCTTCTTCTTTGGTAACATGCCCTCTGCTTCAAGTTGTTGCATCTTTGCATCATGTTCACCTAGTATGTTGTAAATTTCCCATGTCCTTTTTGCCTTTAGGCTCTGGTCGCCCATCTCAGGTATCCTATATCCTAGAAAGATTTCGTCATAGTTTGTATTTGAGTCTTCGCTTATTGTTTGCATGACTCTTTCCTGAGTTTCCGGTTCAAGCTCTTCAAATATAGCTTGTCCATATGGAATAAGCTTGTTTCCAAATATATGTTTTTGTAGCCATTCTGGTTTTCTTTCCATGTTACCAACAATATCTTTTGTGAATGGGAAAGCTTTTACCCAACGTTTCAGTCTTGCGTCATTTATTTCTGTAGTTGGTTTTATTTTGTCAAGGAACATGTTTTTCAATACTAACATTTCATTTGGTACTGTCCATTTGAGTTTTCTTAAATATTCATCCCTTCTCAGTTCATTGTCTGCAAAGTAAGTTTTTATGACATTTTGTAAACTTTCGTTTGCAAGGTCATGTACAATAGGTTCTCTTCCTTCTCTCTCCCTAACTTTCTTTCTAAACTCTTCACCAAATATACCATCTCTATGGTTCTGTGTAGTTCTTTGAGATAAATGTTCTAGAACGTCAGGTGTTATATTTCCATCAGCCATGTTCATTTCATACTGGTTCAAAATATCTGCATCTTTCATATCTTTCAATGGCATTAAAGCCGCGCTGAAAATACCAGCTAAATCTGGTTCACCATTCACTTCCATTGCGTCTACAACTTCTTGGAATTGTGGTTGTAAGTTTATGAACCACCTATCCGGGTTAGCTTTATGACCCCATCTCATTGTAGTTCCATAGTCTGCAGAAACAAAAGTAGGTTTGTTTCCATATTGGTTAGGTTCTGAATGAACTTTAAACAATGTTTCATTTCTATATGTTTTGTTGAAATTTAACCTTTTATTTTCACCGAGTTCATCCAAAGATTGAACGTTATATGCTCGTAAGTAAAAAGGGTTGTTGTATTTGTGTACATTTTCTTTCAGTTCTTCCATTCTATGATGAATATTTTCATCTGATGTTGGAGTCTTTTGTATGTCGGCGAACATTTTTCGATATTCTTCTACTCTGTCAGCCGAATTTTTCTTAAACTCTTGGAAAGATTCCATATTCACCTCATACTCTTGTTGAGGGTCAAGATTTTTCGGCTGTTCCAAATCTTCATCTAGTTCTGTGAAGTTAGTTTCCAAAGGAGGGACTTGTTCGTTTCCTTCAGGCTCTTCTAGCTGTTGTTGCTGAACTATTTCTTCCATGTCTGGTTGTATCTGAACTTCTTCCTGTGGAGTTTCTTGTACCTCATCTGCTGGCATTTCATATATTCCGAGACCGTTTTTAACAAGTTCCCTATTTAAGTCATCCGCATTCATAACCCTTTCTTCTTTCGTTCCGTCTTTATTTTTTACGCGTTTCATGAAGATAGTTGAATTGTCATTTAGCTCTGACACCAAATATCTCGGAGTAAATTCGTTCATGTCATTTGGATGATATGCTATTAAATCATATCCCTTAGCGAGCTTGTATTTTCCAGGTTTGAAATTATATCCCATTTGGTGCTGAACCATAAAGCTAAATAGGTTCGGGTCAGTATTTCCTTCCTTGAACTTTCTAATAGCTTCTTTATATCTGTCACTAAAGTCAAGAGTATCTGGGTAACCATAGTCTTCTTTAAGCATTTTTAAGAAATCTTGGTTTCCTTGTTCTCTACTTCTTTTATGTCCTTGCTCTGTTTGTGGTTGTTGTTGTGCAGGGTTTTGAACTGTTGGTTGTGGTGCTGGTTGTGGAGGTGGTTGTTGTGGTGCAGTGTTTTGAACTGTTGGTTGTGGTGCAGGGTTTTGAACTGTTGGTTGTTGTGTTGGTTTTGGTGCAGGGTTTTGAACTGTTGGTTGTGGTGCATGCCTGTGTCTGTGTCCATGTGACGATGTAAATGTTTTAGGTAGTCCTGGTGCAGGTGCTTCTCTTGGAGGGTTTGGTGGTATATAGGTTCCACTAGCTAGTATATAAGTTCCACCAGCTGGTATATAAGTTCCACCAGCTGGCACATATGTTCCATCTGCAGCATAATGTCCTACCTGACTTTTCGTTTTTAAGAAAGCATTTACTAGGTCTGTTTTGGTCTGTTGTAACTCTTTTTCTTGACTTTCCACAACAGTTGCTCTAACGGCGTCATAGGCACTTTGAACTGCCTGTCTCGTTGCTGCATCTGTTATTTTCGTCATATTTTGTGCTACTTCTTTTAACTCTTTGTCGAAACCTTCAGACTTCAGTTTCTTTCCAGATGAGAAGTCGTTCACTTGTTTCACCTTACTATGAAGAGCTTCGAAGGCGTTCTTAAAGTCAGCATTTGTTAAAGCTTCATTTGAACTGTCTTCATCCGCTTGTATTTTTGTCCTTATTGACCCTATAAGCTGGGCTGCTTTAGCGTTGGCTTGGGCATCTAACCAGTCATTGTTAGCTTTTATATATTCTGCGCTTTTCATTGCCTTTTGCATGGCTGCGTCGTTATTTTTACTTTCTTGTGCTAAGTTTTCATACTGTACGGTTTGGTTTTGCAACTGTAAAAGTTTTTCTGCCTTTACATTTGCTTCAACTTCTTTTTTATACTCATCGCTATCCATATATGTCTTCAGGGCTTTTTGTTTTATCTCTTCATCTTTCAGTACTTTATATTGAGTAGTATGGTTTTTCAAATTTATAACATCTTGTTCCATTTTTGCTACTTCTGCTGCTTTTTCTGACACTTTTTTCGCATATTCCTCTGTACTTAGTTCTTTCAGTTGTTCTTCTTTCTTCTTTTTCTCTACGTTTAACTCATTGAGTTTCTTTGTGTGTCTGTCATATTCTAGTTTCTTTTCGTTTTCACTTATTTGTTTCTGTATGTCTATGTTTGACTTTTTGACATCTGATATTTGATTTTTGAGTGAACTCAAATTCATTTGACTTTGAGGGTTATAAGCTGTTCCGTCTGCAGCTCCACCATAGCCTGCCATTTTCGCTAAAAGTGCCGCTCTTAAACCTCCACTCTGTGCACCAAGAACTCGGTTTAAGAGCATAGGGTTGCTTGACATTTGTTGCAACATAGTGGGGTCATTCAGCATTTGTTGTTGCAACTGTTGTTGTGGTGTCAGTTTTACTATTGGATGTTTCAATGCTCTCTTCCTCTTACGTATATTCTTACGTAGCTTACGTGGCATTTTAAGTGAAGTTAAAAAGCGGTTTTTGACAGATGTTTATATGACACTTTTTGTTCAGCTCAAAAAACTACTCGGTCAAAGTGTTGTCAGTTTTGTAAAATAACGGTCCTATCTCATTCTATAAGGGGGAAAGTCTTCTCAAAGTATACTTCCTTGGAACGCCCGTAACTTTTCCTGTAGCGACGATAGATCCTTACTTGTCCGGACAAAGTTATACTATTTTGAGTGCTCTACAAAAAAAGTCAACGGCGACGACTCTCAAAAATTTTTTATGGGCTAGAGGGCGCAACGCGCCTGGAAGCCCATCCCAAGAAAAAAAAACTTCAGGGCTAGAGGGCGCAACGCGCCTGGAGGCCCCACTTCCTTTTTTTTTTTTTTTTTTTTTTTTTCCCTAAGTTAGAATCAAGTACGAAAAATTTTTTTGACAAAAAATTTCATAACCCTAATAGCAATTTGAGAAAGAAATGGGGGAAATTCATTTAAATGTTATGCAGACATTGAAATGCTCAATTAGAATTCATAGTGATTCGTATTCAGAGAAATGTAATCACCTTATTCAAATGAAATATTTTGATAATAAGATCTGATGAGCCAATTTTTCAATTTTATCTCTCAAACTACTGTAATAATATGTTGAAGTTCATGAAAAAAAATTCAATATTTACAGACTTTATATTCTTTCTCAAAAATGTTTTGAATGAATATATTGGTAACTAAGTATTTATCAATAATTTGTATAAAATTTTGATTTTAAAAAGAGCGTAAATTTTCAGAAGTTTTTCAATTTTAGAGGTAGGGCAACGATAGAAAATTTTTGGAAAAAAAGTTCGGAGATCTTAAACGTATCATATTCCCTGCATGGTTTGGTATCTTCCGCCATGCGTTGTGCCAAACATATTGACACTTTCCAATAATTAATTTATGGTATGAGTCACAGAGTTAGATTATAAAAAGAAAGTAAATAATTGCAATTAGAAATCATATATGTCGGAAATCAAATGTTGATGAGCAGAAACCTTTTACTCATCATAAAAGAGATAAATCACTAAAGATTTGTATACATTAAAATTTGATATTTGGTGCTCGAAAACTGTCTGATGGGACTCCTCCAAAATGAACCAATCTATCGCTGAGGACCAAATTAGATGATGTGGATGGTGTATTCTCTAATTCTAACTTAGGAAGAATGGGAACAAAACGAATGACGACAACAACATGTCAAACATAGATTAAATATCTATGAATCAATAAAGTATACGTGCATTGAAGGTGATAACGATCACTTGAGGCTTATAACTCTTTGACTAAATTATGCAATAATTAAATATAATCATTTTTATATTTTTATACTGATAGTAATTAATATACTATCCTGCTTAATAAATGATTTCGAAAAAAATTTGGAAAATCAAAGTATTTGATAATTAGTCAAATAATCAATTTACATCGTTTTTACTCATAAAAAACAACTAATTTTTGATTTTGATATCATATTTGATAAATACTCATTCCAGAGTTGACGTAATGTATTAATTATTGTTAGAGATATTGCTTTCGCAGCAAAATTCTTATTTCATGAAAGAAAAAAAAAATGATTTTATTCCAACAAAAACAAGTAAACAGATGAATGGAAACGTACTATATTTTCATAAATGTAGTAATCAGCGTGTCAGCTTTTGTTTATCATGTTCGAGTCAAAATGTATTAACTTGTAATAAGAAATATTCGAAGATTATATGAAGTATTGAGCATTCTTTGTAGAAATATTTGTAATTCATTACTAACATATATAATAAAGTTGTTTTTTTTTCCCTTATTGCAATAATTTTGTCTGATTTTAATAACTTTTCATGTATACGAGTTGTGTGAATATGCATCATAGTATGCGTAAATATACTTATTTGCGACGAATAATGTGGTTGCATAATGGAGGTGCTAAATTTTGATTTTTAATATGGGGCTTTGGTATGTATAATCATGTTCTTATCTCAACGTAGGAGTATTGGTGCAATATGATTAAAATTTACGAGGTTGATCTTAAATTGAATAATTCTGGAGTATAAATCACAATGCAGCTAATTCTATGTTAAAGATAGATACAGATTGTAGTAATCAATTAGGGAGTACAAATTCATTCTTTCATTTCTGTCGTATTGAGCAGAAAGGAAGAGATCATAACCCTAGGAAAAAAAGCCCAAATTTGTCACTTTTCATAATACGTTAAACTCAATTCGCTCGGCGAATGCCGAGCACACGTACTCATCATTCAACATAATATTCTCATTCTTTGGTTATTATAGTGCCAGACAACACAAGATTTCAAAGAATTACTTGAGTTTTCAATTAATCTTAATCCGATTTTAGATTTATCGAGAACTCCATCATCACAATCACATACTTCAGTGCGGTAACTACAATTATCCATATACAGAAGGAAGTTCTTTTCGAACAACTCATTTGGAGTCTGTTTTGGAAAGAACTTCTTTCTGTCCGACTTAATTTCATAGTTCCTGATCAACCAAAAGACAGAAACCACACACTATCTACTTAGGAAAGGAGTTCTTTCTAAATCTTCCTTAAATTGAGATTTTATGAGAGATAACCCTTCTATTGCACTTAAAAATGAACATTTTGATATCTTTAGTATCACACATGGTCATATATAGTATTTCATCTACATGAATACATTCATCTTTCGAAGTCTCTCATTAAATGGGAGGCTTCGAAAGATGAATCGTTTTATTCATACAACTTTAAATCTCGAACACATTTAGAGAGTGAGTATATCATTTTATTCTTGTTTTGAGTTTATTCTGATTCAAAATTGCAGTGAAAACAGAAGTTCACACATCATATCTGAATGTGAGCTCATCTATACTTATACGATCTCAATACCTCTACTCTAAGCATAAGGGGTGAAGTTATATAAAAATTATCAGATGCGTTGAAGTCTCAAAAGTATTGCCTGAATGCTTGTTTCATATTTGTCCAAGTAGTTTCAATGAATAAATGTATTGTTTTTTATAATTTCGATTTATTTTTAGAAAATATTCAATATAAACCTTTATTGTGTTATTTACATCTCATAAATTCTCTGTCTAAATCATATAAAAGCGCGTTTTACCCCTATGAATCAAGAAATTCATTCAATATTCATGGTATATTTATTAAATTTATACGATTTACTAATAATCAATATTATATCCTCATAAATAGCAATATATTTTGGTAATCTATGATAATCATATACAATATTTGAAATCAAATTTTCATTAGTTTAGGTTCCTTGTTAATAGTAAACCATTATATTTATTACTAATAATAAAATCTATGTGTCGTATTGAAATTCAATAAAATTACTTATTCAGTCCAAAAAAACAAATTAGATAAAATTTTTCTTTTTTTATGTAATTTTTGTTTTTCATTTTTCTCAAGATCCTAAGTTATGTTCTAACTTTTGACATCATATCCTATCATGCTAGGCTATATATTATAGCATATCCAAAAGGCAAGGAAATCTATCAGAGAAGCCTTTTTTAAAAAAATTGAATAAGCACAATTAAAATGAAGAAATTTTTGCTTTAACTGTTTCTACATATAATTTTTGAGATTTTTTATTTCATCTTTCTCTGAGCTATTCAATTATTTGATAAGAACTTCAAAAAAAAATAATTATTTTTCAAATGAATATCTTCATACATTCACCCGCCGGGACTGTTTTAAAGCTAATGTTTGAGCACACTGATATTATAAGAAGTATAGAAGATAGATTGAAATGCCAAGACCCTATAATATGCTTCCATAATAATATTATCCTTGAAAAACACTTCTCGTTTGACTTTTACGAAGTCAAAGATGGAGATCATATATATACAACATGCGAAAATGGAAGGTCAATTCTCAGGCTTTGTCAAGAATTGACAAAATCGATTACAATTACAAATCAACATGATAGATTTTCTCTTGAAAATTCATGTTTAAGGATCATTGATATGACATTTGTGAAAGCAGAAGGGTCCTTTAGTGCCAATCTTAAGCTTTCAAATTGGTATAAGAGCCTGCAAAAGAATGATAGCGGAATTTATCAAGTTATTCCAACAGTGATGCCTAAACGAGCAAAGAAACCTTGCTCAAAGCCTCTTCCTTCCTTTTGGTAAGAATTTTATTGATTTCATTTCTTTAGATAGTCGTTTGTATCTGTAATCTTGAAACATCAATTTTTAATTTTTTTCTTGTTTGATAAATAAACTTGTTGTTTTTTCTCAATAATCGAAACGATTTGCGAAAAGCAAAAGGAAATAACATATATCAACTTACAAAAGCTATAGTTAATTTAGAACATATTTAATGTTTCTATAGAACTATGTGAGATTCCATATTTGGTATTTCTTTTATATTATTTCTTGCAATGTCAAAAAATATAAAGCAATAGGAGAAAAATCATTATTCAAGCTAATGAAATGGTACTTTAGTATATTGTTTCTGCTTTATTAGATCATCGAAATGAAATTGATCTACTATATTAGAATAAAGCAATAAAGTACTAGGGACTAAAGTTCCTCCTTATTTTAAATTATATATGAAGCATATTTTTCCTAGATTTGCTCACTGAAAATATGATTAAGCCTAAAAAGGAGTTTGTGTTAGGCAGATGGAAAAAAATTTTCAGATACGGGGAGTCGAACCCCGCTCCAGCAGATGAGAACCGCTTATCCTAACCGATGAACGATGTCGGATTTAGATTAAACTTGAATTAAATAGTATAAAATAATAAATGACCTTATAGATTCAGATGGCAAAATTGAATTAATTTTATAAACTCAAAAATTATAATAAAAAGATGGTTGATATCATTGATACTTTAGCTTATAAAATATTTTTTTCAATTCAAATTTGGATGATCAAGTGTCACATTTCATAAAAAATTTTGAACAATTAATCATAAGATATTTTCCTTGATATTTTATTTTATTTTTTCTTCGATTTTTGTATGAATTCAGAGACATCTAACAATAATTTCAATTCAATCTATTGGCTTTTTTCAAAAAACCGAAAATATGAATTCAAAACAAAATTTCATTTTAAATGCTGCGATTTTCTGATAGTGAAGACGAAAACAGTGGAATCGTTATTGCCAAGCGACCAAGATTTGTTAGAACCCCTCCAGCTAAGCATCAAAGAAACACCCGTATGAGACGTTCAAATTCAATCTCCGAGAAAAAAAATGCAAATCCTGTCATAATTGATAGCAACACTGGATGCAGCGATGACGAACTCAAGAATGAGCAATCATCTTCATCCGAATCTGTTCATGATTGCTTTGTTATCGAGTTTTCTGATTCATCTACAACAGATTCCATCAAAGGAGAATTCCATTATACATCAAACATGATTCACCAAATTGAAGCCCATAATTTTAAGCACTTAGTTCATAGTAATTACCAAATTGATATTTCCGAGCCAAAGTATTCCAGCCAACCGTGCTGTGGATCCTTCTTCCTTGTTAGAGAAAAACGTTTCCACTTAAGATCGATGAGGAAATATGTACTCCAAACTTCAGAAAAAATTTTAATGTCCGCTAAAGATCATGGATTTTTAAATCCTGATATCTATATCAATGAAGGTGATGATGTTCATATCAAAGCCAAAGACTATAAATACAAAATAACCCCTGGCGAATCGAAAAGTGATTTTTTAGTTTACGATCATAATGAATCAATCGGATCATTGACCTTAGGTCAGGTGAGTGGGGCTTCCAGGCGCGTTGCGCCCTCTAGCCCCGAAGATGTTTAGTATAAATGAAGTTTTTATTCGGAAAATTGTTAGTCTTCTGGTGTGAATTCGGCAATTCTCGTGTCGAATGACCGTTGGATGTAACGAGGAAGATTTTGACGAACTTGGTATAAAGTTCTCAACATTATAAGGGCGTGGTGAGTGGGGCTTCCAGGCGCGTTGCGCCCTCTAGCCCCGAAGATGTTTAGTATAAATGAAGTTTTTATTCGGAAAATTGTTAGTCTTCTGGTGTGAATTCGGCAATTCTCGTGTCGAATGACCGTTGGATGTAACGAGGAAGATTTTGACGAACTTGGTATAAAGTTCTCAACATTATAAGGGCGTGGTGAGTGGGGCTTCCAGGCGCGTTGCGCCCTCTAGCCCCGAAGATGTTTAGTATAAATGAAGTTTTTATTTGGAAAATTGTTAGTCTTCTGGTGTGAATTCAGAGGACTCTTCTTGGATAGAGTCTTGTATTTCCTCCTCCTCTTCTTCCTCCTCCATTGCTTCTGGGAAGAAGCCTTCTTCTGGGTCGAAAACATTATATAATGTGTCACTTTTCACAAATTATATATGTTTTCATGTTTTGTCACTTTTCTGTCACTTTTCGGGTAAAAAATTTTTATTATTATATATAAATGAATTTTACAAAACCACCGTTACCGTTCTTTGGAAATAAGAGTAGATGTAAAGATATTATATTGAGAGAACTTAAGAAACTACCGAATGGTCTAACATTTGGAGATTTGTTCGGTGGAAGTTTCTATATATCCCATTTATGTCATACCGTATTTCCTGACTCAAAGATTATATGCAATGACTTCGACAACTATATGGACCGTCTCAAACATATTCCAGACACAAACAATATATTGAAAGAGTTAAAAGAAAAGATACCTATAGGTAAGATGGAACGTATACCATTAGATAAGAAAAATATTGTGAGAGAGGTTTTGAAAAAAGCAGAATATATAGACTGGGATAGTATATCTGCTAGACTATTATATAGTGGTGCTATAAGAGTTCATGACATTGAAACACTTATGTCAAAAGTTTTATATCTTAACTATACAAATGTTTTCAAAGAGGACATAGAAAAATATATTGAGGGTATAGAGTTTGTGAGATGTCATTGGACAGAGTTGTATGAAAAATATAAAGACAAGGAAAATGTTTTCTTTATAGTGGACCCGCCGTTCTATAACACATGGGATTTTCAATACCAAGTAGACTGGACTTTGAGAGACTCTTTAGAAACTTTAGACGTTATATACATAACCATCCATGCTTTTACTTTACATTCCGATAAAAGTGGTTTGGAAACTGTTATGAGATGGTTAGAGGACATACATGACTATGAGTTTATATATGACAAGATAGAATATGAGAAAGGTCCTATAAACTGGAGAAAGTGTCACAATAAAGAAATTTTATTAGTAAGTATAATGTGGTTTGAAATAGGACTACTTGTTTTAGGTTTTTTCCATTGTGTCATTTTATTTATTTGACGTGGCAGAAAAGTACAGAGAATATGAAGATGAACCAATGCCTGCAAATGTTCAGCATATGTACTCGTAAGAGATATTTTTATCTAATATTAAATGGACGCACAGAACTTAGCGAATGCACAGCAACCTGGACAACCAAACCCAGAGAATATTCCAAATGAAGTTAGAATACAAACTGCAATGGCAAACTATGGTCAAGTGCCAACAGATGTACAAATGCAAACTGCCATGTCAAATGACGCTGCGTTAGGTTTGCCACCATGGTATGCAAATATGAGATGGAAAGAGTTTTATACAAACCCTGAAGTGGGATATAAACGACTTTATGCAGATGACGCGAACACAGGAGTTGACCCAGAATATGTTTTCTACCAGAGGAGAAACAAAATGTATGAGCTCCAGTTAAAGAATGCTATGGAACTCAACAGGAAACGTAAGAGACTAGGCGGACATTAGATTTTTACATATAGTTAAAATGGGTTTCTTCAGTAAGATAGGAAACTTCTTTCGAAATGTTGGAAGAGGTATATGGAATGGAATAAAATCTGTCGGAAGAGGAGTATGGAACGGTGTCAAAAATATTGGTAAAAGAGTAGGTCAATTTGTTGGTATTATACCTAAAGACCCTGAACCAGAAGAACAAGCTCCTGTTATACAACAGCCTGAACCTGCACCACAGTCAAGTTGGCAACCACAACCGGTATATTAAAAAATTATATTTTTACCGTTCGATAGTAGTTGTATATGAAACTAAGTTCTAAGTAAAACGCATGGTATAATGGAATTATTCTTTTCTTCCATCTGTAGTAAACCATACTTGAAAGTCTGAAATACTTCCACTTGGTGGTTCGTATAACTTTGTAGGTTTTTCGTAAAAGTCATTTGCCAAGCATAAGAAAGAGTTTGGGCGCCAGAAAATGAAGCATGAACTATCACAGCATCTTGGTCGAAAACATCTTTAAATAAATATGGTTCATCTCTTGCATATCGACTGTAGATATTTGCTAAAGGAGGTTCAACTTTCTGATTTAACATTCTTTGCAAATAATACCATGACATTGCAGTGAATTCTGTATATATTTGTTCGTCTTTATTTGGATTGTCTTCGTAGATTTGAAATGACACTTGTGAATTTTGTTTGTCATATACAATTCTCACATAAAGTGTGCTATCGGTATTCGCATATTCATCAGCATATTTTGCATAACATGAATTTATTTTATCTTCTATATTTTTAATGCAGTCTGTAGAGAAGATGAGAGGTCAACTTGTATTAGCTCAATTTCTTCCCACATTTTTCGTTGCCCTTCAGATGTATAATCTATATGAAACCTTACAATAAATGGAAAACTTTTATCTTCTACAGACACAAACTTTATTCTTCGAAAGCCAATAGCTTTTGTGACAGATGGGTCTCTTAACCATCTTAATGGGTAGTCAAAACGATAGCCTTCATGCTTTACGGTATCTGTCTCAAACTTTTGACCGACATTAGTAAAAAGTTCATCTAATGGTTTAGTTGTAGCAACTCTAGAATTTTCTTTTTCTATTGGAAGCATATTTTATCTATAATAAAAATGTCAAATGAAACAGCGTCTATGAGAGAAATACAACACAACCGACAACTCATTATGCAAGCTCTAAATAAGAACACAACAAACTTTTCAAACTATTCTAAGATATCTGAGTCATTGAAATAGGGTGACTTAAAACTGACAATAAACCCAATGACAGATGAGTTTCTGTTTCAAGACAATAAGAACCATACTGTCTGTATAAATCCAACAAAAGGAACTTTAAACGAGAAACCTATAAATGAACTTCTTTTGAAAGCAGATGTTGACAACAAAGCTGACAAAGAATATGTAGACGATGCAATAGCAAAAGAAGAAGAAAGAGCTAACAATGCTTATGCAACAAAAGAACATACTCATCCTGAACTAGCAGACAAAACATATGTTGACAATAAAATGTCAAGTGAAGTGACAAGAGCTGAAAACGAATATTCTAAAAAGACTCATATACATTATATTAACCAAATACCAAGTCTTAAGGAAACATTAGAGACAAAAGCAGGTAAGACTCATACACATTCTATATCTGATATTACAAACTTACAAGAAACCTTAAACAGGAAAAGTGACGTTGGACATACACATACCATTGCAAATATTACAAACTTACAAGAAACCTTAAACAGGAAAAGTGACGTTGGACATACACATACATCTTCTGAAATAACAGACTTAAACGTTAGCCTTGAAAATAAAGCAGATAAAACATATGTCAATGAAATATACCAAAGTTTGATAGGAACAAAAAATATTGAAACTATTGTTGGTGACTTTTCTGTCAATGAAGAAAATAAATATTTTAGATGGCAGTTGGTACAGTCCTTAAAAAATGGTACACGGCATAAACTCATTCCGAAAAATAACAATGAAATGTATGTAAGCTATAAAAAGAATGATGGTACACAAGTTAAAGTTCCATTAGACAACAACTGCTACTTAAACTTATATGGAGACGAACAAAAGAAATATTTAAGAGTTTATGAAATGGTGGATATGATATTACCTGACCCAGCTCCGGCACCACATTATTATGACTATGGAGATGACGACAGAACACCACATGTAGATGAACAAAAGCTAACATTATATTTAGATTATTATAGATATAAAAGATATAATGCAATAGAAAAAACGAGAATAGTATATTATTATACAGATGACAGAAATAAATATTATAGTCAAGACTTTACTTACCCTGAAAACATAAGATTATATTATAAAAAATATTCTGACACAAACCAGAAGAAACCTGAAATAGTTGCACTATATTTTAAGTTCAAAAGAGACAATCCTATAATATCTCATATGTTTGATTTAATGAACCCAGTAGGTTCTATTTATACATCTATGGATGCAAGAGGTCCTCAAGTAATGTTTGGTGTTGGTGCATGGGAAAAATAGTCGACAGGTTTTTGTATTGTGCAAACTCTTCAAAGGAAACAGGTGGAAGTAAAACGATTTCAGGTGAAAATTTACCTGCACACAGTCATTACATAGATTTAAGTACATCTCAAGCAGGTTGGCATAGTCATAGATATTGGGATTGGTCAGGAATGACAAAAGGTAAAGGATATGATGTTAAAGACGACGTTAAGTTTGCTATAAATTGTTACTGGAATAACACGCAGGGAGAAGGAAACCATACACATTTCGTTTCAGGATATACGCAAACAACGGGACAAAGTAAAGAATACATGCCACCTTACATGACAGTTTACGCATGGTATAGAATTGCTTAGTCGTCATTTTCAACTTCTTTAGCATATTCGTCAGGAGTTGTCTTATATTTGTTAGGAACTGTCTTTGAAAGTATACCACCTTGAACTTTGACAAGTTTGAAACGAGGTCTGACAATAGTAGTTTTATCTTCTGCTTGCAGTGTGTACATTTTGCCATGTTTGCCTAAAACTTCATAATATTCTCTTGTATACTTTCTTCTATTTTTACGAACACGAATGTGAGTACCTGTCGAGTTCCCATTGTTGTCATAGTCAATAGTATTTTCATATGGGTCGCGTTTAGGTATTTCTATTTTTACTTTGTCACCTTTCTGAAGTTTGAAGCCCGACATTCTTTCTTGCTTGTCTCTTTTGACTAAATTATTAAATATATAGTCTTTCTCTAAGTCAGGGTTGTTTTTCATTTCTTCGGGGGAGTGGTTTCCCAAACCTTTTTGTTTACGGTTATTGTAAATATTTAAAACTTGTCTCATCTTTGCCATGGAGAAGTGTCTATACTTGTCGTCATATGACATTTCATTTGCTTCACCACCTTGTGGTTGGTTTAAGTCTCTTAACATTTTTATACATCCGTCAATGACACCAAGAGCAGAATGGTTTTGGTCGACAATGAAATATTGGTTTACATTTTTTGAACGCAGATAGTTTTTTACATCATCTGATTTGAAAGAACTTTCACAGTCAGATGTCGGTTTTGTTGGATGGTATTTGTCAACGAATATTGTCAAAGCTGCTAAGATATCTAAAATAGCTTTGGACTGTAATGGTATGGCTTCACAGTATCTTGTGTTTTGACCAACAAATATTAACCAGTATGGAGGTCCATCTGTTCTAACTCTCGGAATGTTTTCCAAGATATCCATAAACCAAGCATTTGGTGTTGAACTAAAGATTTTTATCATGAGTGCTTTCTTTGTCGCTTTAGAAACATAGGGGTCCTTGTTCGGATTCGTCATTTTTTACCCTATAAGAAATGGGTTTATTTGGCGCATTAGCAGGAGTCGCATCTAGATTTTTACCCGCAGTGGGAACAATAGCCAGAGGTGCATTTGGAATTGGAAGGAAGATTTTGAGTACATTAGGTATACTGAAAGACAAAGCTCAGCCTATTATACAAACTGTACAGAAAGGTTGAGATGTAGCACGAGATGCAACAAATCTTATTCCAAATCCTGAAACAAGAGGAAAAGTTCAAGGATGGATGGACAATGTAGGAAGACAAGCAGGAAACTATTATAACAAAGCAAAAGACTACTATAACCAAGCAGGACACTATATGGACCAAGGTGAAAGATTCTTTAACAGAGGATATAACCATGCACAACAATGGGTAAGCAATAACCAACCGCAACCACCTCAAACTTGGGAAATGTAAGGTTTTTAACTAGGATGAAATGAACAATGCAGCATTGAGACAAATGAGTTCAAGATGGATTTGTCGGCTTCCAGCATTTAAACCGATACCATATAGTCAGGCTCAGCATGTGAAACTGAATGATATTATTAAAGGAACCATCCCACCTCCACAACAACAACCAGTTGAAAACAAACCAAACTAAAATTTTTTACTGAGATGAAATGACCGAAGAAGTTGAAACGGTAGATTTGACACCACAAACAAAAAGTTCAGAACCATTGTCAAAACCTGTCAAAGAACTTACAGATGAAGAGAAAAATTCAATAATAGAAAGTGCCAGGTCTGGAAATACAAACCCTAACTATAAAGTCACTTTTCATAGAAATAGAACAGCTAGTATCTCAAAAAAGAAACAGACTCTCACAAATAAAATATTGAAGTCTGAAGGAGCTTTCGAGACAACAGATGGAAAAGTTTACTTCACTGACCAACAGTTCATTATAGAACATCTCATTGACTTAGAGTCGAAATATTCTAAACTTTATAACAAACACAAAAAGTTGAAAGGAAAACAAAAATAAATGGCATATGATATTTATGAAGATGTTGACGACACAACTGTTCCTGCAAGTGAAGTAAAGTCAGAGGAACCGAAAAGTGACGAAAAACCGATAGAAGAAGAAAAACCAAAGTTTAGTTTCCAAACTAAACCAAGTCAACCTTCATTAGCTGGTATGGTTTGGCGTCAAAGACTTATGGCAGCAGGCGGTTATGTAAAGTAAAGAAAAAAATATTTTTTTATTTTTATAAAAATGCCCCCATATAGAATGGACAGAAAGTCTGCTAGAATAAAAGCAGAGTTGCAAAGATATGGTTGGAGAGTTTCGAAGAAGTTTAAATATAAGAAAGGAAGCCCCATAAAAGTCTATGACAAACTGGCTGGTCTGACCTACGAATTAGATTTGGAAACAGCACGTGCCAATTATCCAAACAGACTAGAGAGGTTAGAAGAAGAACGTCTTATGGACATGCCTTTCGATGTTAGTGAACCTCAAGTTGAAGGACACGACGGTTTGACACATGCCCTATGTCATTTTACTCAGAATTTTGTGCTGAATTCAGCAAAAATAATTTTTAGGGTAGATGGGTATATCTAACCTAATTTCTACCACGAATTCTACCCTCATTATTTATAACCGTTTTACATGGTAACCGTTATGAATTCGTGAGATTCTAAACAGCTTCGTAGCTTCTATTTCTTCGCTGAGGATATCAAAAGTTTTAACAATGCCGAAGGTTTCTTTATACTTCTTCTTGACGTCAGATAGAAGGAAATCGTCAGCAGTTGGATAGTTTTTGTTTAGAAATGCTAACATGTCCATTTTATTTTCTGCTGGTTTCTCTGCTTCTTTCTTTAAGTCAGCATAGTCGTTTCTCATTCGTTCTATCTCTTTGACGGAGTAGTTATATTTCCTCATTGCTGCTTTACATTTAGAACATTGCGGATTCATTTTTGCGTTATACATTGAAATTTGACCTGCTAGAACAACTAAGGCGTCAATGGTTTTCTTTAACTCAAAAGCTGCTGGTTTTATTTGTCCATTCCATACTTTACCTCTTCTATCTTTATCTCTTATCTGCCATACACATTTTGCAACTAATGAAACAAAGTTGTCGTATGTCTTAAACTCCTCCGATTTATATATGTCAGAGATGTTCTTATATACCATGTCGCAATCTTTGTCCATAACTTTATGGTTGCAATGATATCCTAGAAACTCATAGTTTACTTTACGTATGAACTTCTTTATTTCTACTGAGTCAGTTGGTTTCACTTCTATTTCATCGAATTCAGGAATAGTGAGCTTTTGTTGCTGGATTTCAGGCAATTTGGGTAAATGGTCAATAATGTCCTGCATGTCATAAAGATATTCTTCATTTTCTTCATCCTGTGCGGTACAGTCTAAATTACTTGTTAAAAGTTCTTGCTTTATTCTTTGTATTTCTGTTCCAAAACTATATGAAGAAGGAATGAAGTTTTTCATCTCTACTAACATAGATGTTGGATTCATGACTAACGAGTTTGGTGCTGTTGTTGTTTGAATTGTTGTTGTGCCGATTGTTGAAATCATATCTTTTATACCAAATAAAAAAATAAATAAAAATAAAACTAACTTTATTTTTTCTATCTTAAGGAAATTCATGAAAATTCATGAGGGTAGAAATGAGGGTATAAATACCCATCTACCCTAAAAATTATTTTTGTTCATGGGCTATGCCCCGCCGCTTTGCGTCTTTATGTTAAAATAAATGGTACCATTAATGATATCATGACTGTTCTCGTTCATGTCTGATTTACATCTAATGAAAAAGTTTAGAAGAATTTTCTTATTCTTTCTGGCATATTTTTGTCTTTCCAGTACTCCCGCTCTAATGGTCCCAGATGTGTTGGCTTCGACTCTCTCAAGTTCTTAGATGGTATAACATCTTCAACGCCTCCTTCATATCTTACTTTATAAGTGTCATTGTTTGTGTTATAGCCAAGTATTTCAATAACCACTCCTCGCTTTGCTTCGTCAATGGTTTCAGCAAGTTTGCCATTACTACTTTCAACTAACTTATGTCGAGGGTAAAATGCTATGGAGTCGTCAGCAGCTTTTATAAGATATCCATTACCTTGCGTTGAATCTACTATATAATAGTTTCGACTTAACCTTAAACGTTTCTTTGTCAATGGTTTGTCGTCAAGAACTACACGAACTTTTGTTCCAGGAATGAGAGTAAATTGTGTTGAATTTCTGATATTTTGTGTTTGGCTTCGGTGCTTGTTCGGACATCGAAAAAATGAAGTGGTTTGAGAATGACGGTTTTACTTCAAAAAGCTGGTTATGACAGTTAAGTCATACAACAAGTTTAAAATAATATCTTGCTCTTCTTCTGAACGTTTGTTGTCTCTTCCGATAAAAGTTTCGAACATGAGAACCAAAAAACGTTTTTTGAGGAACCGAAAGAGTTCAGGCAAATTTTCATATTCTGGATATGTTGGGAGCAGTTCAAAACATCTGAGCTGACTTTCGGACAAAATTGGGACAATGTCAGAAAATTCATCTTTGGTCGGACTGCTTGAAGGTAAGTCCCTTACATGTAAGTAGCTCTGGTAAAGTCTTCTCATTTCTGCTAACTTTTGGAGTATAGCTTCGTAGTTTAGAAGTTTCAATTTTAATTGTCTTATTCCACTCTTTACTTCTAAACGGTAAGTATCCATGAGGTCAAGAGTAGCTTTGGTAGCTTTAAGTGGAGCTATCTCTTCTTTGACTTGTGCAATTTTGGTTGCAATTGTGGTTTGAGCTCCTTCAAGTTCGCCGTCTATGTCGTTCTCAACGCCTTCAACCATGGCTTGAAACTCTTCATCGGTCCATTGAGATTGGTGTGGGACGAATTTAACTTGCTTCATTCAAAAAATGAAAAAAAATGTTTTTACTCTAAACGTGCCATATAGATGGCTATAAGTGCTTTGTTATATGACTTCTTCTTCACATGAGTCTTTGGCAACTTGAGAGTTCTTGTTGGAGTTGGGTCTGGAATTTCAATTCTCTCTCGAGCGCAACAACAGATGTCAGAATAACATTCCCCACTGTCCTTCTTGCCACCATAAACTGTGTATTGACCGAACTTGCATTTGCAGGAAGACCGGTCACTACAAGGTTCACAGTTGAAATAGTTGTACTCATACCTGGTGAGTACGAGTGTGAGTAAAAACATAAAAAAAGTGAGTTAAAATGAGATGTTTACTGAACTGGCTGAATGTCGCCTTCTGTAGTTATAAAGAATGGTTGACCAGAGAAGTGAAGGAGAGACTGAATTGCCAATTTCATATGGGGTAGGGGGTTCTCCTTGTTTGGTATTTTTATCCAAGGACGTTTGTTTAGGAACTTAACAAGAGCTTCTCTTTTGGCGTCCTTTATGCCATCGTAGGCTGTCCCGTCTGGTATTTGAATTGGAATTCCAGTCGAAGTCTCGAGCTGAAGTGTAGACCTTCCAGAAATAGTGGTGAACTTGACCTTGGGCTTCATTACCTTGCGCAAGTAGTCTTTTACGCAGTCGTTAAGTTCAATGAGGTAAATTGCCTCGTCAAGTCTTTCTTGCATTCCAAGTTCTTCCATCCGACAGGAAAATATTTTCCCGACAAAGGGAAAAATTTTTCCCGACGACAAGAAGAACTCTTCCAGTTGTCCGTCCGTAAACCATTCAAATTTTCGAAAATTGAGAACTTTTTGGTCGAACTTCAGAAAAAGTTCTTCCATCCGACAGGAAAAATTTTTCCTTCCGACAGGACACAAACGGATGACTGACGTTCCTCTTCCTGAATGCCTTCCAAAGCCAGAAGAACCGAAAGCTGCAGAACCACAACAGTCTCCTCAGCAACTTCAGTTCCAGCAAGTACCTCCGAATTACTACCAATTTCCACCTCAAGGTTACTACCCACCACAAGGCTTCCCGAACTACCCTCCTCAGCCTATGCCTTACTTCCCCAACCCTTGGTTGTTCCAGCAAGCTCCACCCCAGCAATTCCAATTCCAATCTCAATCGAAGAGAGACCAAGACTTCGAAGAAGGTCTGAACCGCTTACGCAAAGAGTATGCTACAGCTCCAATGGAAGACGACAGGCTTTCAGTCCCTTCCCTCAAATCGACCGATTCGACTCGTACCACAGATTCGGTTCGTGACCGTGAAGACTACCTCAAGCAGTCTGAGACTCTTCATCCTACAACCATTTACAGTTGGAGCTCTCAAGAACATGCGCAATTACGAAGGTCAGACACCAGCTGGAGACCGCAAAACAGACGTACTCGCAAGAGCCGTCCAGCTCGTCAAAACAAAGACGGAGATAGTCGACTTCATACTTGCAGCTTGCCCTTACAAGTAAAAAAATAAACAATTACGAATTAAACTTTTTACTCTTTCTTTTCTGAGTTGTTTAGAGCTGGTTTCTCTTGTAGAAACCTTTCGTACTCTTCCATGGTCATGTAATTGCGAATTTGGTACGCAATTCCAGGTTCGTTGTTTTTGAACCTGATGTATGTAACGCTTCCATCCTCCTCAGGGAAGTAAGCTGCTAACATCTGACCAAGTTTTCTCGGTGACTCGGAGCTCATAAAAATGTTACTTTTTAAACGTTAAGTTTTTAGTCTTAATTTACCCTTTGTTTTTCAAGGTAGTATTGGAGTGCAATTTCTCCAAATTCTCTGTGTCGGAGTTCTTCAGCATTTTCCAAGGTGTACCTGGAGAACTCAAAGAAGTTGTCAAGAACATACTGCCATGCTGCTCTTCTGAGTTCGTCGGGATTTTGGAAGTGTTGCACCTTCGAGTCTTCGGACATGAAAAAAATGACACTTTTTCTATTAAACCGTTTTGGCGTTTCTCATGAGTGAGTATAGTTCTGCCGAACCATTGGAAGAGAAGAAGTACTCTTGCTGGCAAAAGACAAAAATAGTTGCCTTAGTTGTCATTGCAATTGTACTCGTAATTGAATTCATTGTACTTCTCTTCACGTACATAAAACTCAGCAATGGTATTTGCTTCGCGAAGAGATATCCTTACTAAGACTAAACACTTACATTTTTCAAGCTTGACTTTTTACAATTTGAACTTTGTTTGCGTAGATATGAATTCTGAAAGAAGTATGAGGGTCTTGTATGACTTTGTACTTCTCCCATAGTTCATGTCTGTCAAACTTACCTGCCATGGACTCTTTCATAAGTTCCATGAAATCGTCTTCGGACAATCCGGGGAAAAGTATTATGTCAGTAAGTATTCTTTTAACATCCTTACTTAAACTCTTTGCTGTCTGTACACAAATGACAACAGAGATGTTAAAGTGTCTGAGCTTCTTAAGAATTCGACACATATCTTGTTCTCTGTTCTTTAACAAAGGATGAGAAGCAAAGTCATCTAAGATAAGAAGACATCTATGAGGGTAAGTCTTCCAATCGTAAGATTGCAATTTCTTCGAAATGTATTCTATCTCTTTCTGTTTGTTTCTGAAGTGGTGTTTGTCTAATATTCTCTGCATTTCCTCATTAGGTTCTTTAAACTTAGAATTTATATACTCATTTATAGCATTATACTTCAAAACTCTTCTTTGGTACTTTTTTATCCAATCTAACAACTTAGTATCCTTTATACATACTAACTTAGACTTCTTTATAATATCTTTGAACGAATTGACGGTTTGGTCAAATTGACAAGAAGTCGAACAAATAACAACTAACTCATAAAATGGGTTCTTCTCATCTAGTTCTTGTTGTTGTGCAGCCATTTTAAGATAAGTGAAAGTCTTACCCGACCCAGGTGGTGCAATTAGACCTGTTATACCATTCTGAGCAAATAAGAACTTGTCATGTATAGGCTTTATCTGAGCATTTTCTAACTTCCTCTTGTTCTTGTTTAAAACATTCTCAAATTTCTTGTCAATGTCAGCAAACTTTTTTTCTAACATATTTTTAGAAAAATTAAAATTTTTATCTTTTAGAAAATGTCTAGCGATTTCGCTATCTATATTCGAGACAAACTTTTTGACAGCAAAACATCTGTCGACCATAAAATCTTACATAGTGTAAACAAGAAAGGTGAATTTGTTCTAAAGTTCTGTTTCTGGGAATATGACAAGAACCATAAACCATTACAAAGAGCAGTCTTAAAATTTGTCAATGACAGACTTGTTGACAGAGATGACGCCGATTGGAAAGATGAAGTCCAACAAAAGTTCTTAGAATGCAAAGAAGACACATGCGCTGTTCTTGAAGATGAAATAGAAAACAGAATAGAAGAGCTATTAAAGGACAAAGAACTTTTACATAGATATGGTTCTGAGAAATTTGACATATCTCCACCAGAGAAGAAGAAAGAAAGGAAAGAGAAAAAAGTAGAAGAGAAGAAAGAACCTGAACCAGTTCCAGAGAAAAAGAAATTTGACATGTAAAAATAAAATTTTATTTTTAGAACATTTCTGGGTCAATGTCAATGTTCTCTTCCTCTTTAGGAGTAAACACTGGCTTAGACTCTAAAATCTTTTTACCCAATTTACCTTGAACTTCTACAACTTTAGACTCATAATATTCATAGTCGTCTGTCTTCTTTGGTTCATAAGGTATAACAAGTTTGTATGCTTTGCCTTCTTTAAGGTTTGAGAACCTTCTGTCAAAACTTTCTTTGACTGTTAACAAACCTTCTATGTCTAAGTCTTCAAATTTCGCACCATTTTTAGTCACAATAGCAAACTTAACTGGTTCGATGTTCCAAACTTTGCTGAATGAAGACTTTTCAAAATGGTAGAAGTAAACATTCAAATATGTGAATGGGTCTAGTTCTTCTTTAAGTCCTGACATGTACTTGTTTACTGAAATATATTTCGTCATCTTTTCTATCGGATAAAAATTTTTTTTAAATTTACTCAGAAAAAATTTTCTTTGTATATACACCATTCTGAACATCTAAAAGACTTTTGACATTTGCCAAGAATGTTCGTTTAGACGCTGGCATATAACCATACTCTTGACAATATTGTTTATATTCATCATATAAAGACTTTTCATCTAAACACTCAAAGTCGCTTTCTTCTATGAACAGTTCATATACACTCTTGTTTGCTTCTAACAATGTTTGTCTCTCTTCGGTATGTGGAATTTGTCTTGGATTGAACTTAGAAATATCTAATGTCATGAAATATGAGAACAGGTGGTTGTAAAAGTCAGATGTCAAACATTCTGACAAAGCGTCAAAATATTCTGTATCTTGCATATGAGCTTCTGACGTTCTGACAACTAATATCTTCTGTCAGAACTTTCTAACTTCATCGGAAAGCATTGTTTGAAACCATAATGAAGTTTGCAACATTTTCACAAACTCTTTGGTCTTTATACTTTCTTTCAACAACTCCAACTTTGTCTGTTATAGACTCTTCAAAGCATCTGAGTTCAAAACTTTTGTTGTATCTATACTTTGAAGTTCATTGCAAACTATAAGTTTCATATTCTCTATTGAGGAGTTAAACTTGCCACAGATTTTTCTAAGTTTGTCATATTCGGATTCGAATAACCTTCTAACAGTTTGCACAAAATATCTGTAAAGAAAGTATTCTTACCTGTTCCTTGTTTTCCAATTATAATGAGAGCAGTTTCATTTTTAGCACTTGGATGTTGTAAGATGTTTGCAAACCAACATAAGATATACTCATAAACCTTTTCGTTTCCATTGCATATAATTTCTTTGACATGGTCTAACCAAGCTTCTATAATACTGTGTTTCCATTCTACTTTCGTATTTATATCCAGTGAAGATAGAAATAGAAGTTTGGAGAAGGTGTATAGAACTTTATACCTCGAACTGAAAAATCTTCTAACTTTGACAATAAGATATCCCAAGCATCTAAACATCTTCATTCCAACTTGTACAACTTTTATTTTCTTAAGTTTCTGTCTACATTCTTGTTCAGACACTATTGTTGCTCTTGGTTTGTTAAAGACAACATCCCATTCTTTCATGACATAACATTCTGGGGCAGAGTCAACATAAATGACTAAACGTTTCAAATTCTCGACTGCTTTGTTATAGTCTCTAAATGGACACTTTTTGAATGCTTGGAAGTCATAAAAATCTGAAACATCTATTCTGTACATTTTATAAAAATAAAAAAAATATTTTTTTTATTCTTGACTTTGTTGTTCCATTTGTTGCATTTGTTGTTCTTGAGCTAT